AAAACATGAGCACTTTCCTTATACCTATTCCCAGGACGATACACTCTTAAGGTTCGGGAAGTAAGGTAAACAAAAGAACGCAACAAATAAAGATCTCATTGCATGGCCAGTGATATCACTCAAATAAAAAACAAATTGAAACAAATTGTTTTGGTTTATATTCTTTTATATTCTTTATATTCTATTCTTTTTTATCACTAAATTATTCTCAAAAGAGGAAAGAGCAGTTCAGAAAAGTGCCTGCTTGGTTTGCCTTTAGGAACATGATGAACATCATTTGGAAAAGCGTTTCGTGACAGACAATTTGAAAACAAGTTTCCATGAGGTGGAAAGCTCGATCAGGAAATATGGAAATACATTAACATTACATAAGAAATTTGTAAAACAAGGTGCACTTAGCCTTACCCTCTGTGATGTAGATATCTTCCGGACTTACCTCTTGAGGGTTAAAAGTCTGCCAACTTTGAACGATACGGTTTTTGTAGTTTCCCTGGTAGATTGAAGTGGTATCTAAGGCAGCGATAATATTTTCTGATAATGTGTCGGGTGAATTCCATAACGCGTCAGCAGTCGGAGAGGAAGAATCTCCTCCAATGTATTTGAATATCATCGTCCAACCTTAAAATAAAAAAAAAAGTCAGAAATAATCTAGGTTCGTGGAAATTGCTTGTTCCTTTGGAAACTCTAGAAATTGTTTTTTCGAATTGACTGAATGGTTATGGACCTAAGTCCTGGGACCTTCCTAGCCAAGTGAGTTAGCCACCTCTAAATCAATTGGAAAAAGAGGGTAAGTTTCTAAAGAAACTGTTGTGCTGCGTCGGTTGGAGAGTATAACAGGGTAATTTAGTGTCATCAACTGGTTTGAAAACGTAAATTGGCCACCGTAAAGAGTTTAAAGGATGACGTTTCGAGCGTTAGCCTTTCGTCAGAGAGATACTGATCCGGTTAACCCCATTGAGATTCTTGTAATAAAATATGTGTTTATTGTTTATCATATTGTAAGAGAGGAGATGCACTTTGTTCCTTTGTCTGACGACATAGTCACTTTTGATGTAGATCGCGACGTTTCGACTGCAATACTGCTAGTCTTCATCAGGCAACGAGGTCGATTGTTTACGTGTTTACATGGAAGAACTTGAGGAACAGGCAATAACAAATGCGACTTGAAAACCTAAGATCTGGAAACGATATGTAGATGACACTTTCACAGTCTTAGACCGGGACAATGTCGATGGCTTTTTTACAAAATCTAAACAGTCAACAGCCTACTATTCGTTTTACCATGGAAATCGAGAAAGATAACACCAGTCCTTTTCTCGACACAACAGTTACAAGGGAAACAGACGGTCTTCTCACTACTACTGTCTACAGAAAGCCCACCCACACTGTCCAGTACCTAACCTATGATTCACACCACCCTCAGTCAGTAAAGCGTGGTTTTGTTAAGTGTCTATAAGACCGAGCCAAACACCTCACAATGACACCGTCGGTTATCTCTGAGCAAAAAAACCCTTGTCATCAGTACTTGTTTCTAATGGTTATCTTTCTTCATTTTTTATGAAGACTCGCAAAGACAACAAGGGTAACAGCCAACAAAGGCCGCTCAGGAATTTAAATCTATTGACATTCTCGCTTACATAAAGGGTGTATCAATAGTTCTTCGCCGCTGCCTACAGCAACAAGGCATAGATACGAACCGTATAGCAGTCGAAACGCCGCGATCTACATCAAAAGTGACTATATCGTGAGACAAAAGAACAAAGTTCATCTCCTATCGAGATCCTCCTATTTAGTTTGACGTACCACCTCCATCACTTGTCTGGTCGCAGTACACTGGGAATGAGTCTGATACATGATTGGAAATTTCGTAGACTCCTGTTTTCCTTGGGGCTTGGGAACAGTTCTGAGGCAGAATGACTGAAAAGATGAAAATCTGTTTTCATCAAATCCGAATACTTTTTTTTATAAAGTTATCAAATATGATTTCAATAGGTTGGTACGAATGACTCCCTCACTACAAGTCGTAACATAGTAACTCTTGTTCTTTAAATAACAATGAAACGATTTTGAAAAAAACATAAACATGCTAAATTGTGTTAGATGTTAATGATTCCTCAAGCCGCAAGACGGACTGGCCATAGGAAACCTAAGATAATTATGATGTAAACAAATACTTCCTAAGAAGTGAGAAGGAGGTTCTTCGTTATACACAACTAACATATTTAAACATGAGGTCAATGACTTTAGAGAACTTCGAAAATTTTCTGAAGCAAAAAAAAACAAGAAAACCAAGAAGTATAAAAAGGCGGGAATATTTGCATTACTTGATGAATAAGCTACAAAATACCTTGGTCACAATTCTCTCCCCCGAGTCCTTGTTGACAGACACAACGGTATCCTTTTGAAGTAAACCCAGCTTGACAAGTAGAATTTTTCTTACATGGGCTGCTTCCACATGGATTCTGTGATAAAAAAAAAAGGAAACAGTGCCTTTCCTTTTTTTGTATGCTAAGAGCACGTGTGCTTCTTGAGGGATTACTATCACCATTATTATTATTATCATCGTTGTAATTTTGAAAAGAGATCATCAGAGTCATTCTTTCGAAAAAGCATTAAACCTCAAGAAGATTTCACCTGGTCTCCAACATTTGGG